ATGAGGTCATCGCTGTTATTCCACGGAGGTTTGTGGAAGGCAGAATAGCTGGATCAGTTGATTAATCGAGTATCAGTCAATCGATTGATCAGCTGCAGAAACGATCAATCACTGCAGCCCTGCAGTGCAGTTTCCATCTCCCACAAACAAACAGCGCAGCGTGCCGGGGAGCCAGTGAGGGGAGACAGGTGGCTGTTATCTGAGTTAAATGGTCATCATCCTCTTAGAGACTGCCCATCTGTCTCCTTCCTGACCACCTGCAGACTGAAGCCCTCAGAGAGAGAGAGAGAGAGAGAGAGAGAGAGAGAGGGAATGAGGCTCCACCCTGCCCCCAGACAGTGCTCCAATCACACAGCTGGGTCAGAAATAGTGATGTTATCAGTCGTGCGAGGGAACGCCGGTTACAGGTCCCAGGACGGGGGTGGGGGGAACCCAGCGTAGAACAACATCTACACCAAGCTCTCCTTATCACACCGCGCCTTCCATACGGGTACTGATAACCCGCCACTGGAGAACCGAGCACGTCTGTGAGTCGCATCCATTTAACCCCAAAGACCAGCAACCTCCAACTCCGGGACACTCACACTGTTCTGGAATGTTCTCCTCCCTTTTACAATGTTCTCAAACACTCTATCCCATTCACACTGTTCTATAACGTTCTCCTCTTTTTCAGACCTAGGCACTATGCTCTCTTGTCTTCTACAATTTTACTTCTCCATTCACACTGCTCTACAATGTTTGTTTCAATCCACACGGTTCTAGAATATTCTCCCCTTCAACACTCTTCTGGAACGTCCCCCTCCTTTCATACCATTCTAGAATGACGTCCCCATTCACAGTGTTCTACATGGTTCTTCCCTTTCACTCACAGAATGTTCTACAGAATGCTAGAATTTGCTCTTCTCTATCTACACTGTTTGAGAATGTTCTTACAACATTCATACTGTTCAAGAATGTTCTCTCCAATTCGCGCTGTTCTGGAATGCTCTTCAACACTGGGTTGAGAAACACTAGGTTCTCCATTCACACTCTTCTAGAATGTTCTCTCCTAGAATGCAATTTCTGATTCCCAATGCTCTAAAATGTTCTCCCCTGTTCAGACTGTTCTAGAATGCCTTCCACACAACGCAGCCCTAGAATGTTCCCAAAGACTGGACTGGGTTGAAGGACTGTAGAATGTTCTCCATTCATGCTGTTTCATTTGGTTTATGAGCACCCAGAACAACTTAACCTAGAACAAAACAAAACAAAGAACAGTCTCCAAAAATGTGTTCCACTGAACCCAGGAACGTTTAAGACCCTTTTGTAAAAAGGAGCCACGTGAGGTTCTCCATGTTTCGAGCTGAAGCTCCAGCAGAAGAGCAGAGTAAGCGCAGGAGAACGTGGGGCAGGAGAACGTGGGGAAGGAGAACGTGGGGCAGGTGTCTGAGCGAGTCTGGTTCATCGCTCACCTCCCGTCCACCGGCTCAGACGGTCTCCGGTACCGGACAGAAAAATCTACAGCAAATAGTTTAGGAGTTTCCAAAAGTTTCCACAGGTGCTTTTTTGCAGCAGGCAATGAAGAACCAGTGAAAGGAATCAGCAGAGGAACGTCTGCGAGAGATAACTCAGCTCCGATCTCAGGGCGCGTTCTGTCATCGGTACCCTTAAATAACACGTACGCAAGAAGTACAAATTAAAATCTGACAGCTCTGGGCTTGATGGCTTTCGCAGCCACTGGGCAGATTTTCCCTGCAGTGAGCGGAGAGAAGGCTGCGTGAGCCACGTGTGCTCCGCCGTTCTGGGAATATGAGGAACAAACCGCCGACTGCAGGCCCACATCTGTCTAGAACACTGACTCCGAGGTCCTGAACACAGACAACAGCCCTTCCTCAGACAAAATAATCACAGCACCGAGCCAGAGACGCTCCTAACGCGCTGCAGTCCGCAGAACAACCAGCTAAACGCATGAGACCTTCTCTGTAACAGGCACATAACAGGTTCTAACTGGTTATTCAAGGGTTCTTTAGTAAAGACAATGATTCTATATAGAAACATTAATGCTGAAAGAACCATCTGCATTGTTCTTTGCATGATGAAATAGTCCTTCAGACTGATGGATAATGTTTTGTCTACGGTTCTATACAGAAAGGTTTTGAAAAGGGTTCTATTCAGCACCAAAAAGGGTTCTTTTACAGTTATAAGCTTAACATGTAAGAATAACAGAACCCTTTTTGGTGCTATACAGAACCATGTACAACATATTCTCCATTGAGGGTTCTTTAGTAAAGACAGTGGTTCTATATAGAACCATTAACTCTTAAAGAACCAGCTGCATGGTTCTTTGCATGGTGCAATGGTTCTTCACACTGATGGGGAATGTGTTGTATATGGTTCTATACAGAAACATTTTAAAATGGGTTCTATATAGCACCAAAAAGGGTACTTCTATTGTTACAAGCTTGACATCGTAACAATAGCAGAACCCTTTTTGGTGCTGTACAGAACCACATACAATACATTCTGAAGTTCTATCAATCTGAAGAACCACTGTACGATGCAAAGAACAATTTAAGCATGAAAATGGTTCTTTGCGGGTTCATGGGTCTATATAGAACCCTTACTAAACAACCCTTGAAGAACCATCTTTTTTAAGAGTGTGAGGAACAGAGCACCAAACCAAATATGTGAATTAATTGTCACAGCAAATTCCCAAGACACGCCGCACTAGCAGATTAAACAGGATTTTACTGGAAGGAACCCTGGGGCGAGACTTTGCATGTTTCTGCAGAACCTTTTCAGGAACCAGAAACTAACTTTTCTCAGGAACTCAGGAGATCTTTTTCAGACACTCAGGAACTTTTTTAGAAACTCCGTAACTTTTATGGAAACATAGAGAGTTTTTTCTGAAAATCAGGAACCTTTTCAGGACCTCAGCTAAATTTTAGAAACTCAAAAACTTTTTCAGGATCTCAGAACTTTTTGGGAGATTCGGGACCCTTTCAGGAACTCGTGACCTGAGCTGTAGTCCTAGAGTAGGTACTATGTTCTTGCCACTGGACCTACTGCTGTGGAGTTTGCTGTACTGAATGCCACTGATCGGTGAAGCACAAGCTTCACAGAACCTACTTATCTGGCATTTTTAGAAACCTATTAACAGTTAATTTGGATAACGGCAGAAAATGTAACCAACCAGGAAAACGGAAAAAGTGGACCAGCCTTGCTCAGCACCCGCGCTAACGCTGGCCCCGAACTGGTCCGTTTACCAAAAGGTTCAGTCACCGGAAATTCTGCAGACTGCAGAGGGAGGAATTACAATAATGTAAGTGTGGTGGGAATACAAAACAAGGAGTTCAGGTTAGTTCAAGTTCAGGAATTCTTTTGGTTCCTAACGAAGTTCTGGAGCCTGTGCCTTTTTTGTGCCACTAAGGGGGGCTGGGTAAAGTTTCACAAAGAGCTTTTTTAGAAACTCAGGAACTTTTTCAAAATCAGGAACCGTTTCAGGATCCAAGGAACCTTTAACAGAATCTCAGAGACCTTCTAAGGACGTTTTCAAAAACTCTTTTAACTCTTAACTTTTTTCACAAAGCTTTTCTGCACTACTGAGGGGGGCTGGGTGATGTTTCACACGGCAGACCCTTCAGGTGGCCTGCAAATGAAACCAAGGTCGAGATTTATGTGATACAAGTATAGGAGCCTTTTTTAGACACTCAACATTTTCAGGAACTCATGAACTCTCCTTTTTCAGAAACTCAGGGACCTACAGAATCTCACAGACCGTCTCAGGACGTTTTCAAAAACGTTTTTCAGGAACTCGCGCCTTTTTGCGCTGCTGAGGGGGGCTGGGCGAAGTCTCCCATGCAGGCCGTGCGGACCCTTCAGGTGGCCTGCAAATGAAACCCAGGTTGAGATGTCCTTTCAGGGGGGCCGCTAACACACCCGCTAACACAGACCACATGTCCCAGTGCGCCTCTGCAGGAACCGGCGGGGTGGGGAGAGTTCGGCCTCAGCTGAGATTTACGAGATACAAGCATAGGGGCCCACTAACCTGGCACTGTGACACTCAGCGCTAACGCTAACGCTAAGCAGCTGAGGCAGGTTCTGGAGCTTTCAACGCCTGATTTTCTGAAAAACTGAGACACGACAAACAGATACAACGACAAACAGAAAGCACGAAAGCTACACTGTGTTCCTGAACCTGCCTCACTCGCCTCTGTTAGGGTCATCAGTGGCTACGTACAAGTATTCAACCAGATGCTAAGCGGCTAAGCAGGCATGTGTGCTCTAACATCACAGTAAACCAAGACTCCATTCTGTACAGCCTCGATTACGCATGACTTACATCATCAGCCTCAAGTACAAACGCAGTTAACCAGAACAAATTTAGGCTAAAACACAACATAAATATTAAAAATTCACTTAAATTTTGCCACCATCAAAAAACCTGTAATTCTGATTGACACCCCTGTGGAACAGTGACAACTCAAGGAAGCTTCTGGATGCATAAACGGTCTGGTTAAGCGGATCTTTTGATGGAAAAACTGTTGAAACGTTTAAAAAATGGTTCTATACAGCAACAAAAAGGTTCCACTAATTCAGGTACCTTTTTTGGTACTCTACAGAACCCCGTTAGCCTTTATTTACCTTCTACTTAAGCGTGTCCCTGCAGAGCAAACATTTTAAATTCTCTCACGACTACACTGCCATGTTCACACTCATGCCATTTTTCATTGCCTGAAAAATCAAGTTTAAACAAGACCGCAAACCAGAAAGGGGGGCTCCTAATTAGCCGCAGGACAACTTCACCATTTCACAAATTATGGGCAGACGATGGGAATCTGGTAGACACACCAGAGTTAACCTACATAAACATATTCAACACTTCTCAAACAAAAGCCAGCGATTCAAAGCACTGGACGAGCCCTGTGATCACCGCTTTACAGTCAGGCGATTATGAAGACGTCACCTCCTATCGTCTTACTCAGTCATCAGCGTAGCAACCGGAGCATCAGGTTACTCACCTATACAGGCATGGACTCTCACTGAGAGCTGAGTCCGCAGGATGATACTGTGCTTCTTGCCCCTCCTGAAGAACAAAGGAGAAATGGAATCAGTTATTCAACATCCTCAATCAGCACGTAAAGAAAGCGTGAACAGTAAATAATGTAAAACGGTGTAATAATGCACATATCTTCAGCCTTGATATGATTACTATAATACTTTCAATAATTTCGCTATTAAAATGCTTTTTTAATCTATGAAGTCTATTTGGTACAGACTGTTTTTACTGACAACCATAATCTCACAACCAGGCCTCTATTGCACACATTATTTGTTTAAAAAATAATGTATGATTTACTTTTGTTTTAGAAATGGCTTGATTGTTAAAATCAAAACAGTTTTATAAAAGTAGCGTGTTTGGGGGTTGTCCTCCTAGGGTGTGTTACTTTGAGGCAACACAGTCTGACAATGGAAAAAATATACAGAGCATCACACAAAAAATATGATGTTTTAAAATGGAAATATTTGGAACAGAAACACACGATTTGTCAATCTTTAAATACTAAACATTCAAATCTGTTTCAAGTTTTGTTTCATTTCAAAGCATGTTACAAAAGTGAAAAATCATTTAAAACCACAAATACCAGTTAAACCCATACTAAAACATAAAAAAAGACTAAATATAAAATTAAAAGACTAAATGGGAACTGCAGTGTTCTCTTATGTGGCTACACAGGTGACTCGCTATTGGCTGCATTTATTCCTGTGTTGCTTCTAGGCGACATGCATAATTAAACCATTTCTGATAACATAAACATAATTTATATGATACTTAATGTTAAAAAATGAAATCCACACTTTAACAAATGTATTTTTGAAATGCTTTTCCAAGGAAAACTGTCTGAAGCAACGTAGCAGGAAAAGGTTTAAAAAGGCCCACCAGGAGAAACTGTGACCCACTACCTGCATGTGGTTTATTCAAACTCCTCCCCTTCATTACTGACCATTAAATGTGTATCAAGTGAGGAAAACAGGTTTGTTGCCCAGAGGCAACATCATGCAAACAGCGGTTCAGCTAATAACGGCTCACCAACATCAATGAAAGCTTCTCCATGCAAGAAAAACGACGATAAGATCTCTGTGCGCGCCGTGAGACCTGATTCCGTCTGTTACGACCGTCTCAGGTCAGCGGAGCTCCTCGCCATGGGGGAGCTAACCCTGTGTGGCCTTGAGCTTCAAATGCATGACCTCATGACAGGCCGGACCACGCTGACCTCCTACCGCTTCTTTATTGCTGCCTGAAGAGTCTCGCGGGGACGAGAGAAAGACTGTGGAGAACTGGGGAGCTCCAGGGTTCCCAGCATGCACTCTGGCTTTTGGTGCTCCCCTGGCCTTTCGGAGGGGTTCGGACACACAGGTCAGGTCAGTGTGAGAGAGAGTGATGGACAGACGGGGTTAAGGACTCCCCTCACCTCAGGTCACGCAGGATTAGTGGTCTGCATGTTTTGGTGCACATGACTGAATCAGAACCAGAATCAGGGGCCGGATTCACGAAAGTGTCTCAAGAAAGAAAATCTTCATTCTCAAGAAAAAAGTTACGAGAAACTGTTATTCTACTATCGTTACAAGCTTGACATCGAATCGATAGGAGAACCGGTTTGGGTGCTATATGGAACCACTTTTCTTTACCAAAGAACTCTCGAAAAACATCTTTTTAAGAGAGTACAACACTCCGTCAATCTGAAGAACCATTTCACTATGCAAAGAACCCTTTAATCATGCAGAGGGTTCTCTGTTCATAATAGTTCTATATAGAACCATTTTCTTAACTAAAGAAAGACCCCAGAGGGTTAACAGTGAGTTTGCCCCAGTTTGCTGCAGTAACAGCCTCTACTCTTCTGGGGAGGCTTCTAGATGTTGAACATTGCTGTGAGGATTTGATTGAGCATTAGTGAGGTCAGGTACTGATGTTGGAGGGTCAGTTCTGGATCCCATCCCAAAGGTATTGGATGGAGCTCCATCACTCCAGAGAACACAGTTCCACTGCTCCACAGCCCAGTGCTGGGGGGCTTTATACCCCTCTAGCCCATGCTGGGCACTGGGCATGGAGACCAAATCTGGAATGTGTTCAAACATGATTTGGACACTGTACTCTTTGCACTCAAATCCACTGTGGAATTTTATGGAATTAAATCGATTAGGGAACTCGCGATGCCGGGTTCATTACTGCACCATGATGACTCGTGTTCAGTCTGGTGGCCCTCAGAAAGTTTCATGTTGCTAAAGCAAACACAAACAGCGGCGGATGAACAGAACGAGACGGATAACAGCACAACAGCAACATTACACTGCGGTTCATTACTGTGTGCACATCCACACAGCCAGGCTGCCACACCAGCAGGTACACAGAAACACAGACTGCGCCAAAAGAGGGCGCGGGGGGGGGCTGGCAGTGAACAAACACTGTATTGTTCAAACTATATAATGCAAGTTTGATGGTCCACATGGCAGCATTCCACT